AGGTGGAAACCTGGATATTATGCAAACGCAAGCAAGTTTCTGTGGAGCTAATCTCTATGTGAGCCCTTCCTTCCCAACCCGCTGGCTCTGCTGGATTCCAGTTACCAGCTAAGCCTGGGGCAGGCACTTCAAATGCATTGCTGCCTTGTTTTTCCCACAGAGGCAGGAAAGTCAGTTATGTAAAATTACACTTTGTTTTTAGAGACCTGTATTTGTGATTTGAAGCTGGGCCCTCTTCAATCAGTTAATGGACAGGAGTGTAATTCTCAAATCCTCCTAGTTATCCTCACAGATGAAAAATGTTTAGGACCTTGTAGGCTTTTCTCTCTAGGACATGATTCGCCCCCACCGCCTTCACCTTTTTAAAAATAACCCGGGTGATGGCCAAAATCATAGCATGAAAACATAGCCCTGATGAAAGTGTTTTGGACAGCTCTCCCAAAGCAGCCACAGAATTATGGGGGAAAAATTATAAGGAGAAACCACAGGGCCTGGGAAGCAGGGTCTAATTTGGTCATCAATAAGTTCATTGTTTCTATCTGGAAACTTTATTTTTCCATGGAGGTCCAGCAGTTCTATACTGGGTCCCAGACAGAGACCTGGAATGGTGGGTAGGAAGGGAGCTTTATGTTCTCCCCGGGGAACTGAGCAAGGCCAGGCTTTGGGCTGTTTTGGCTTACCCCGAAATGTTGATAGCAGGCAGGTGGACAAGTGTGTGGGATCTACAGCAGAGATGTCATTCCTAAACTAGGTCAAGCTTGGAGAGCCAGGAGAGCCAAGCATGAGGACCATCAACCCTGAGTGGAAGCAAGTTATTTTATTTCTTTATCCTAGGACATTGTCAAACAGGTATAATAGTTCCTGGGCTCTGTCTATTGCACTAAATTATCACATTGATCATATCAGGAATGAGGAAAAGAAAAACAAACTGAAAACCATTTTCATAGCATTTTGGGATCTGAAGATCTTCAAGAAACTTACTGTGTTCTTATGCTTTTATTTTGAGAGGGGCAATATTATTCTTGTTTATTAAGCATCCACAACAATTCATGAGGGATGTTCAAGTGAGTGTGAACATGTGAACTTACAGCCTTACACCACCATCGAATGGTGGAACAATTCCAAGATGTTCATCTTGAGTTTGAAGTCTTTGCCTAAACACAATTATGCAGTGTTTTGAGAGTCAGTTCCAAGATCTCTTGAACTGCTTATGAAACATTTTGTTTATTAAATAATTTTCTGAAATCTACCAGGTTTTAGTGATGTTTGGAATTATAGAATTAGAAGGGGAGAGATCATATGATGTACCCTGGGTTTTTTTTTTTTTTTTTGAGAGGTTTTTGCTATAGGGTGCGTGTGCTCATCAGACAGACAGAGAGAGACAGAGACAGAAAGCAGGAAATCACCCCCCGGGGGGATGGCCATGCCGCAATCCCTTCTCCTCCATTCTCCTCTCAGAATCTTGGGCACACACGCACATGCGCCCGGCATGAGTTTAAGGCACCAGGTCTAGGATTCAAACCGCAGTCGACTATGTGGGAGTCCAACGGCATAGCCATTATGCTAACTGCTGGTCCCTACCCTGTGTTTTATAGGAGACTGAGTGTCAGATAATCTAAAGGACTTCCTCAGAGCCATACGAAGTGCCCATAACAAAGCTGGAGCTAGGACCCAAATTTCTAATTCCCAGCTGAGTGTTCCTTTTTTTGAACATATTTTTGAGAGTATTCTGATGACATAGTCTATTTCCATGGTCAGTGCTAAATCCTAGTAAGAAAGTGAAGGTTTTTTCCTTCCAGTGATTTCAAGATAAGAGATATAGTTTATATTTGTAATGCATTGTGCTTTTAAAGAATGTATGATTATCTGTAAAATTTATAATTCAGAAAGTACTTTCAAATATATTGAATCTTTACAATCCAGGTAAAAATTGTTATTTGCATCAGATATGGAAGCTACCATGTAAGAGGAAGTGTCTTGGTCAAGGTTTCTAAACATCAAAACTGGAAACTCAGCAGAGGTTGAAAACTCAACAGAGGTTGGGTTTTCAATTCCATTTTTATAATTTTCTTTTAATGTAACCTGAAAATGGATGTTGAAGTGTTTTTGAATATGAATTACTCTTAGTCATAAAGATGAGACTGTCTCTACCCCCTCTTCTTTGTTTGGCTTTAAGTGAAAGAGAGATTCGGCCTCAGTGTCTCCTTAGATGCTGACTTTATTTATTTATTTATTTATTTATTTATCCTTAGATGCTGGCTTTATTTATTTATTTATTTATTTATTTATTTTTAAAAGTTTTTTCCATAGTGTGCATGAGCTCACTGGAGAAAGACAAAGAGAGACAGTGAGAGGAAAAAAGGGAAATTAGCCCCCAGGCGATGGCCACGCCATAATCCCTTCTCCTTCATTCTCTTTCTGGGACTTTGGACACACATGCATGCATGCCCAGTGTGGTTTTCAAGTCCCAAGACCGAAACTGTGGTCAGTCATAACCACCAGTGCCTTAACCATCGTGCCTCCTGTTAGTTGGCCCTAAATGCTGACATCTTTGTCACCATGATATACCAATCCACAGTGGACTGAGTTTTCCAGTTCATCAATAAAATCTCACTTCTCTGAGAAAGTCCTATCTGAATTATCAATAGTTGTGGTAATAACAATAATAATTAACAGTTGATACTTATCAAACAATTACTGTTTCCAGGTTCAGTTCTAGGTGCTTTATAAGTATTAACTGATTTGATTTTCCCAGCAAGCTTATGACGTGGATATCTTTTGTATGCTAATTTCACAGATGGTGAAACTGAGACACAGAAAGTTTAACACAGATAACACAGCCAACACATGACCAATAAAGCAACGTTTATTTTTTTGTCTTTCTTAATAAAAATGTTGATGATGGTTATTTTTATATAATAACCCTAGCTGTTCAATTTTTTGTGGATAGATTCCCCCCTTCTTTGAATCCTCCCTTCTTCAGAGATTCTCAGGTCTAAAACACTTGTGTTGAACCAGTCGATCTTGAGGGATGGCTCTAGTTTTACTTGTCTAGAAATCTGCCACGGCTGCTCCTGTCCTGTGTCATGCTCTGTGGACCTACGCTGTCCTATCACAGCCTATTCTACCACTTCCTGTCCCACCTTCCCGTATATCCAGAGATAAACCAATGTTACATGTCATTATGATTTTTATTTATGTGTAATCATAAGATGTGCTAACTCTTCAAAATGTTTTAATTGAATTTGGGTAAAAACAGGGAAAGTAAATAACCCCTTCTGCTCTCCTGTTTCTTCCCACTTTACATCTTAAAATATTTGTTTTAGCAAACCCTTTTGTCAAAGGAATTTGAAGTCCAAAATCTCACAATTCTTTCCTTTACCCTGTTTTTGCAGACAAAATCAGGTTAAAATGCATGAGGACAACTTGAAATGGGTAAAGAGGAAGGTGACATCATCAAATAAACATTTTTTAGAAGCATCTGCAGAAGAGGCCAGCCTCACCACTATGCTATGGTGTTAGACTGTGTTCTGGATGTTCTGTATGTGTTTGAATTTAAGGCCTTTTTCAATATCAGCTGGTGCAAGACCACCCTGCCCACCATCCTTGAGGTGTGAGGTTCCAGAAATTCTCCCCATCTGTCATTTGAGATGTCCAGCCATGAGTTCAAAGGTATGTTTTGGTGCAGTGTGGAATGGAATCATCACAAACTATAACTTCTTTACCTTAGAATCAATGAGTTTTCAAGAACAATGAAAGATATTGAAACTTTTACCCTTTTATATGTGAAAACATTTTGTGAGATACATTTAATAGGCCTTGACACAAATTCAATATTGATGTTTTTAAAAGTTTAAAGCATATGAAGTTATGTGCATATTCGATATCCTAACAAGAAGGGGTTAAAGCACTGCTTGAGTTGATGCATTTTCCTTCTTATGAATTAACCACAAAAGTATGTCTGTTTCATCATTTTCCTCACACACCTAGCTCTCCCTTTATTAAGCCTTGTCTCCACTTGCCTGCAGACAGATCGCTCCATATTTTGCTTCTGACTCTAACCATGATCACTCATGATGAGAGAGTATTGGTTAATGAGATGGTTGTGCCATGCAGAGAAGATTTTGTTTTGTTTATAAAGCAGAGCCTATGCCTTTCATAATGTAACTTTTATCTTTGAACTGAGAGCATTCATTTTGCATCTTCCACCTTCCCCCTCCCTTTTTCCCACCTCAGCGTTTTGATTTGTGTCTATTTAAGGACTTAATTCTTCAGTTATGAAGAGTTGGGTGGAACATGGGGACATGGAGGTTAGGAGAGAGATGGATATTCCTCCCTGCTATTTTCTAAGTGTCTTCCACAACCCTCTGACAGAGGGGAGATGGTACATTTTCTCCTGGAAGAAAGATTTATCTTTATGTTATAGTTAACCTGTCTTTGTGCTAACAAAATGATGTATGCCTTACTACCAATGCTAACACCGTTCTCTCCCTTCTTTTCATATAGGAGTTTTGTGAATCAGATCTGGATTCTGTCAAATAGGAAGGGATATGTGAGTGTGTTGAACTTGGCACACATCCTTTCCACCAGTGACAGAAGAACCTGTTAAGTTAGAGTCATGATGACCTGAACTTGGATTCTAGCTCAATCAATAACCCAGAGGCAAAGGTAATTACTTTTGTATAGAACCACCACTTGAATTTTCTGCTCCACTGTAGTTACAGCTAGGGGAAAACAAATCTTGCAGTATGTACATGCTTTTTATCAAAGATGCAGCACAAATGTCAACAAAGTGTCCTTTTAAGTCAATATTTGCTAGGAAAAGTACAGGGTGTTCTTGGTATGATTATGGTACAGAAAGCTTCACAAACCAGTAAAAACATTGACGATGTTACATATTTATACACAAGTACTATGAAACACAGCAGGAAGAAAATAATCTACATTTTAGTAAAATCAAATTCACACATGATCTGATAGGAAAAAAGTTTTGTACTTACATGGGTCATGGATGGAGTTTTCGGCTCAGACTCTTGTGTGAAAAAGCAGCTTTAAATATTTCATTGGAAAATAAAGTTGCTTCTTTATTGGATTCCCTTCAGATGAGACTGAATAGATGAATAATGTATATTTTGTGCCAATTTAAAAAAAAGTTCTGTGATTTGTACAATTGTGACTGAGAAGAGTCAATTGATACTTGAAGGCAAAGAAGCTGGAGAATAAAAGAACAAATGGATGGAAAATTCCACTACTCAAAAATCCCTATGTTCTCTCAAGGACAAGATTGTTACTTGAGAAGGCTTGGCTGAATTTTTGGCATTCTTGCATTATCTCATTTTGAAGATGAAATATGAACTATGGTTTTTCAGCCAGTATCACTGTTTTCTGAAGGAGACTCAATTAAATTTACTGGGACTTTTTGGTAACACTAATTTTCCTACATTTAAGTGCATAGTTAAGGTTTCAAAAGCCTTGGGCATTAACGATCTCCCTTAGGGGAAAGCACAGCCTGATCTTTGGGAAGTCCTTGGCAAATTTCCTTTCCACAAACTCTTACCATTACTGTAACTGAGCCATAAGAGAACCAAAGTGACTACATATTGTACTTAGTCTTGGAAGTCTATCTTAACATATATTGATCTATTAGAAAATCAGTCTTGGACTGGCCCCAGAGGGTAGTGGTTAAGAGAACTGGATCCCACATGGCCAACTATAGTTCAAATCCTGGACCTGAAGACTTGAATAATACACTAGGGACATGTGCGTGTACTTTCAGATTTTGATAGGGTGGAGAAATGAAGAAGGGGTTGTGGTATACAATAGCCCATTGGAGAGGATACTTTCTTCTTTTCTCTCTACATGTTTTCAGTCTCTTCTGTCTGGTGAATGCATGTGCCTTCTGGTAATTAAAAAAAAAAAAGTCTTTAACCTCTGTCCTTTACTGACTTCATAATGAACCTTGCCCAATGCCTAACCTTTCAACTTCCTCAGGATATAGCCTAATGCTTAACTAATGAAGTTAATAATAACCTTGCTGAGTCTTTACAGATAATGGGTATGGAGACAGGGAGAAGGAAGACACTATTAGCACTCTCTCGCATGATTAGCTAAGAAATTTTATCATCTTAAACACTGTAAAGCGACATATAGACCCTTGCTGTTTTCATATATATATTTAAACCTTTGTGATGACCAGTAACTTTGGAGGTGGAGATAATCTTAGAACACTACTCTGTCATTCTCCATGTTGTTGGCTTCCTGAATAAAGCAATCTTTCCTTTCTATCTACACATGTCTCTTGAGCACTGGTTTTTGAGTAACAAGCAAAAGCAGTTTGGTTCCAAGGTTATATTGGCATCTTACTATTAACCCAGAAAGAGACTAATTCTTATCTACAAAGATATTGATAAGAATTTGGCTACTTATACATTCTATTGCTAATCCTAGGAAGTAGCTTTTAAAAGTTCATTTGCTATAGGGGTGAGCACATGATGTAATGGCTACGTCACGGGACTCCCACATAGTAGACCTCTGTTTGAGTCCTGGAACTGGTGTCTTAAAATTCACACAGGGTATATGTGCGAGCGTGCCCAAGATTCTGAGAGGAGAATGGAGGAGAAGGAGTTGTGGTATGGCCATCCCCCCAGGGGGTGATTTCTCACTTTCTATCTCTCTGGTGAGAACATGTACCCTGTAGCAAAAATCTTTCTAAAAAATAAGTTCATTTGCTATATAAGTCAGGAGGACAGAGCTGGCCCTATGGGCACAGCAGTAATGTGCAGCTTAAGTGAGGCCAGATCCCAGCCAGGCGTGTGCGTGTGCATGCCTACCCAAGGTCCTGAGAGGAGAGTGGAGGAGAAGGGATTGCAGCGTGGCCATTCCCCCTGGGGGGTGACTTCTCACTTTCTGTCTCTGTCTTTCTGTGCCTACATGCACCCTATAGCAACTCCCCTCAAAGAGAGAGAGAGAGAGAGAGAGAGAGAGAAAGAGAGAGAAAGAGAGAGAGAGAGAGAGAGAGAGAGAGGCTAGATCCCCACATGAAAACATGGTTTGAATCCTTGGCCGGGTCCACCTGAAACATAAAGCACATGTATTCCAGTGCTCAAGACCTGACTGGGTGGATGATTGGAGGAAGGGATTGCAGATCCTGTGGGAAGCTCTTTTCTATACCACTTCTCCTTCCCCTTCATGTGAGCATGGGTGTGCTCTATCATGAATACAGAGAAATAAATGTTAAAAAGTTACATTTAAAAAATAAAGAAGTCAAGAGGATGGCCAACAGTGGGCTTGGCAGAGGCTGAACTATGTGGTGTTGCAAGTGCAAATGTGTGCCTTGATCTTTCATTGTATGTAGGACAGTTTCATGGATAAGTTGGATGCCACTGATTACACAGAAGATCTGTGATTTAACATTGCTGTTACTGTTTTCTGCTGCCCAGTGCAATTTGGTAATTTTCTTCTTTTTGGAGAGGTTTTTGCTATAGGGCGTGTGCACTCGTCAGAGAGACAGACAGAGAGAGAGAGAGAGACAGAAAGTGAGAAATCACCCCCCAGGGGGATGGCCACACCACAATCCCTTCTCCTCTTGGGATCTTGGGCATGCACACATACGTGCCCGGCGTTAGTTTAAGCCACTGGGTCCAGGACTCAAACCACGGTTGACTACATGGGAGTCCAGTGACATAGCCATTACACTAACTGCTGGTCCTGGTAATTTTCTAAGCGTTTTTGAATTAAAACCTAAATTACCAAAGGAAACATCTACTAAAATAATCTTTTTTCACTTGTGTATTTATTAAAAAGAGACAGAGGGAAGTTTTTTGAGGGGTTTGTTTTAAAAATAAAATATTCACTCAAACATCTGGAATTCAAATTTGTCTTCTTGTGTTTGTATCAACAGATGACGAACTGAAAGTTATACTTAAATGTTGGTTGTTAGTCACATTATTTCAGCCAACTAGAAATTTGTGTATGATGCAAACTGGTCAGTTTTAAGAATACCTAGAGATCCATAAGCAAAAATAGCAATAGTATCAATGGTAGCGTAACAAATTAATAGAGACATGTACTTCAGAAATTAGAAACATTTTTTCTTTTTATTTTTTTTGAGAGGTTTTTGCTGTAGGGCATGTGTGCTCACTAGAATGACAGAGAGAGACAGAGAGACAGAAAGCGAGAAATCACCCCCAAGAATGGATGGCCATGTCGCAATCCCTTCTCCTCTATTCTCTTCTCAGGATCTTGGGCACACATGCACACACACCCAGCGTGAGTTTAAGCCACCAGGTACAGGACTTGAACAACGGTTGACTACATGGCAGTCCAGTGACATAGCCATTATACTAATTGCTGGTCCCACATTTTTTACTTTCTTATAAGTGTGACTTTCAATGACTGCATGAAATGATAAAATTGAGTTTGCTTGTGTGTGTATTTGCATACCCATTCTCTTCCCCCTAAAAAAAGATTCTGAGAAAAGGGTTGGTGTTCAAAACATACCTGACCATTGCTGAAAGAACCTGATGAACTGTACTGTGTAGTCTTTTTACTTGAGATTAAATTATATGTTAGGAGTTCTATATATAAGATTGGTCTACTGGCATGAAGATTTTGTAGATTTTTCAGTCTACTTTCTTCCTTTAAGGTTGTGTTATATCTCATAGCATGGGCCTTTAGTGGAGCATTAAGGTGGGACTTCAGGGTGTATATTATTTTCCTTTTAACAAGCTGTATACAGGTTGTTTAAGGGTTACATTCACGGCTATCTGCCACAGGGTGTGGATGTGAAGAATGGGCAGCTATTACTGTGCTAAGAGCTGAAATGGAATAAAAATAATCACATTTACCATCTAAGCCTTACCCTGAAAATAGCAAGACTTCAATGGACTCCAGAATTCCAAATTAGTTATATCTGACATATTTTGCCAGTGTAATTGTGCAGATGGGGAGATAAATACCTGGTGCTTCCTACTCTACCATTTTTCAAGAATCCTACTATTCTACTTCATATTTTTAAAAGTTTCTTTCTTTCTTTCTTTCTTTCTTTCTTTCTTTCTTTCTTTCTTTCTTTCTTTTCTTTTTTTTTTCTTTCTTCCTTTCTTCTTTCTTTCCTTCCTTCCTTCTTTCCTTCCTTCCTTCCTTTTGAGGTACCCCAAACCACTGTGATTCACTTTCAGTTTCAGCCTGCTGAGCTCATGGGCGCATGAGCACATGCCTGGCTTGCTCCATGTCCTGGGCCCTTTCCTATATGGGTCCAGTTGCATTTACCACTGTGCTGCCCTCTGGCCTCTCTCCTTCAGGTTGTTGTTGTTAAAGCTTATTTATTTATTTCTTCCATTACAGAGAGAGATATGAATAGGAACCCTCTACAGAGTCCTCATGCCACAATTCTACTCTCAGTCAGCCAAGATCATGGGCACATGTGTATGCTTTTGACATGCTCATGGAGGTCCTGGTATGCAAATCCAAGACCTGTTCCATTCTGGTCCAGTTGCATTACCTCTGAGTGACCACCTATATACTCTTCATTTTTTAAAGATATTTTTTCAAGTATAGTATCCTTGCTTGGTAGTTTTATTTTTTCCCCCCTGTTGTTTGTTTGTCATTATATTCCCTCTGACTGTCAAGGTTTCTGATTAAAAAGAAAAAAACAAACAAAAAAAACCAAACCCAAACAAAACAAAACCTACTTATAGTCTTATGCAGTTTCCTTGTATGCAAACAGTTACTTTTATCATACTGCTTTCATAATTCTCTTTGTCTTTGACTTTAGACAGTTTGATTATTATGTGTCTTGGTGTCGATTTCTTTCAGTTTTTCTTATTTAGTGTCTTTTGGGCTTCATGGATCTGGATGCCCATTTCTTTCCCCAGATTTGTGAAATTTTCAGCCATTATTTCTATGAAAATTCTTTCTTGTTCCTTCTCTCTTTCTTCTCCTTCTAGAATATACAGAATGCTTATATTGGTCCACTCAGTGGATTGTGTAAGTCCCTTAAGTTTCTTCACTCTTACTTATTTTTTTCTGACTTACTTCCAGTGGCTTATGGTTGAGGCCACTGTGTGGTAGTGTCTGCTGTTGGACCCTTCTCTGATGAAATTTTTAGTTCAGCTATTGTATCCTATTTCTTTTTGACATTTTAAAGTATTTTCTACCCTTTTTTTGTGATTCTCACTAGTCCCTGACCTCAGTGAACATCATTATGAGAGTTATTCTTAATTCTCTGTCAGGTTAATCAGTCCATTC